ATTAAAACATATTTCCATTCATATAGTACTTCTTCAAGAATGAGACTATCATCTTCTTGATGCCTCCATGCTACATATAGTAGAGCCTTGATTATTGAGAATCCCAACAATGAGTCCACACTATGAAAAAGTCACTGACTATATATACAGGAATTGGAGTTGCCAATTTTCAGGGGTTGATTTCTCTACTCTCAAACACCTAAAGTAATTCTGAATATTTCATTCAAAAGATTGTTTTCTCAGTGTGCAAAAGTATCAGATTTTTCTGTAAAGAGGTTGCAGAAATATAAGCAATTGAAAAGTACAAAATTACCAAAAAAAAAAAAGAAAACTTTTATTTTCTTCATCCAGCATGCAGACTCTCCTAGAGAAAACTACTGGGTCTGGAAAACTCAATTTTAATATTAAGCCTCTCATTATCTGTCAGGTGCTCACAAAACTTCCAGTGATAGGTCAAAGTTTACAGGGTTCCCCACAGATCTTTTTACTTTTATCACTTAACTGTATGCTTATAAGGATAAAATTGCATTGTAAAAAAATTATTTTTATTCAAAATATTATCCAGAATAATAAAAGCTCAAATTTATGTGAATTGAAACTTTTTATAACAACTTTATTAATGGTGTATTGAAAACACAACAGCTGTCACTATGTTACCGAGTGCCAACTGAACTATGTCATTGTTGTAAGTCTTAATGTGATAACACAATATAAACTACACTAATTCATAAACATTAATGATGTAAACAAATAACTTAATAGATAATGTCATTTCATTACATCATTATTTTTTTATGACATCATTGTATTAATGTACAGAAATCAATGAAATATAGTATAAAATTAAATATTCTTATATAAAAATAATGGCTATTTAAAGCACTGAATGAACTGTTCTGTTGTCATGTTAGGCTACAACACAACAATACAACTTAAAATGCATTTAATCATAAACATAGATGACATCATAATTTTGTTACATAATTGATGTTAGAACATCAAATTTCACAGCAATCTCTTCAAGTGATTCTGCTAAATTTTATAATTACAGGTCTAAACTACTTTTTAAATGGATAAGCTGTAATAACAATTCAGAGAAATGGATAGAGTGCAATGATACTAAAATATTAAAAAGTAAATGCCATGCACTGCAATATATCTGTACATATAACATCTTTTGATTTCTTGAGATTAATATACACATATTGCAATTTTAATATATTTATCTTTCAGAAAAAAAAATACTTTAAGCATTCATTAACTAAAAAACAATTGATATCCAAACAAAAACAACTGAGACATAATAAATTGCACCAGTAAAAAATTATGACAATTTAATGACAGTTGAAATTTTTCTTTGGTAAAGATAATCTTGATGCTTCAAAATAATACCAACAAAGATTTTCATTATTGTTTTCTACATTTCACTCCAAAGCATCAAGCTTATCTTTACCAAAGAAAAATTTGTCACCTAAATTGTCATAATTTTTTACTTGGTCCAATTTTTTTTCATTTCAGTTGTTGTTGTTGTTTGAAACCAAAAATGCAATTAACCAAAGTTGACTTCTGAGAGTACTAATTCCAGAAATTACTTTTTACATAATAATAATCATTGGCAATATTCTGTAGGCCCACTATTCAAGCTATCTTGTTAGGTTTAATTTATTACAATACAAATGAAAAAGCACAGTTAATGAGTCACAAGTTTCTAAAGCATTAAATGCTTCACTATGTTTATGCAATGAAGTATTTGGTAAATTAGAAACAACATTGGTGTCCCGTGACTAAGAGCACAGGTTAGAGCAGTATTAAGTATCCCACTCTGACCTCTACATCAGTGATGCCAATCAAGACTGACTGTTACATTTGGATGTAAATCTCGTACGAATGGTCGCATATGAGAATGGTTAAGTTCAGGATGGAGGAGGGAATCAAGAAACAATGCACTCCACTATGCATTTAAACATTAAATAACAATTTATTTGTAAAGATCATCACTAATTTACAAAAGTGTAACATAAATGGAAGAGTCTATTCTACAAGCACATCATAGAGTGTGTTTACAAATTTGGACACGTCAGTAAATACCTGGATCGGTGAGGGTCAGCTTTGGATGTCCTGAAGGAAGAAAAGAGAGTCTTTTGCTTGTTATGGTGGGTCTTGAATTCACCAGACCATAATAGTAATATTCACAATGGGTTTTGATCAATTGTTTGTTAGTTTGGAGCAGCTAAGGTCCAGTCAATGGCTGGAGGTCAGAAAGATTGGCACATACAAATTTTAACAGGCGAATTCTGTTGTCATGTGTCCTCTTGCCTTTTATTCGGGGTCCACTCCTGCTATTCAAATTCCCATTTTTTGGTGAAGTTGCTAGTTGCTCCAATCTACGATTTTGCCTCTATTTCCCTCGACAAGTAGTTATTTGGGAGTTGTGTCACTCTACTATCTGTAGGAAAATTTTATGAAGTTTCTTGACTGTATCTATGACATGGAACTTTTCTCCTTTATGTTTTTTGAGAAATCAAATTATGATTAAATCATGTTCTTACTAATTAATTTGCACTAGTCTGGGTTCTCATGTTGGTATGATTAGAAATGCAACCTGAAGCAACTTTTAATTTGTATAATCAAATGAACCAGGATTTAGTAGTTAGAAAAAAGTATATGACAAAGTATTTTTGAATTCAAAGTATCTTTGCAGATTCCACTGAATGGGTCTTTTAACAATAAACCAGACAGATTTTATTTCTTATCATAACCTTAACCTATCATGCCTTACTCATTTTTACTATTGTACTTGAATTAAATACCTTAAAAATAAAAATATAAATCTTTTTCTTTTCCTTACTGTGTGTGGTTATCCAAAATTGTCTATTTATTTTAGAAAATCACACTACTGTACTTCTATGTTAATACAAAATTTAGATGGTGTAAGCTTGATACAGTCTACAAGGGAATCTAGTCTACCTACACCAAAAAACCATCAGGAACTTTGTGACACTACTTTTTTTCATGATGAAAACTAGGGTTTCTCATTTCCTGGTCTTTTGCTTGTCCCAAGATAAAAGTGAACTGTTTCCTGGGATCCCAGATATACAAAATATCATGAAATCAAATAATATAATTATTTTTCATTTTTAAAGTAATTTAATACATTCTACAACCCCCAAAATCATATTAATAATGCTGTATAAGATATATATTAAAAATTACCTTTGAATTACATAGAGATTTTCACAAATAGAAAAAATTTATTAAAGTTTGCTGGAAACTGCATACAACAACAAAATGCTTTAAATTGAGTTAAAAATTTAAAAAAATGAACTTAGATCATTCTTCTTAAAAGGTAATTTTTGTTTTTTAAATACAATATAATACAAAATATTGTAAACTTTTATAAGATTTTAAAAAGCAAAGATGGTCAATACTCTGATCAGTCAATCTGATTCTTATTTTAGTAAAGTCCCACTACCGAGAATGCCCTTTCCGATTTAATTGATGTTAGTGGAATCATCTTTAATGCATTTAAGAGAAGATGGATGTTATATGTTTTTTTCACTTGTAGCCTGGAAGATTTTGAGATTGTAGTACTTCTTTTGCTGTCTAGTATTCTTGATTTGTCTACCTTGGCATCAAGCTTATAGCTTGATAATTCAGCAATTCATTTGGCTTTAATAATCAGGTTTATGAAGAAAAACTTCATACTTGCAAACTTTGTACTTGTTTGTATCCTTGCCCAATTTGCACAACCTGACATTATGCAGTTATTGAATCTACCGGGCATGGTTAAAAATTAAGACAGCATAAGCACAAGTGTTCCAGACATTACAGGTTCTGACAAGTACAGAATTTCAGAGTCCTGCCACAAATAAGCTACGTACTGATTATTGACAATTTGTGGCATGCCATAACGAACAAAAATTAAAAAAACTAATAAGTAAGTTTAAAATTAATAAATACAAATGTATTCTGACAGTTTGTGAGTTAATTATACTTCCTATTTGCAAAATTTCCTCAACCTTAACACAAAATAAGAAAAAAGTGAATTTTTAAGAAATTTGCAGGATTCCCAGGATGATAATTTCTCAGGCTAAAAAAACAACCAGGATCCCATTTCAGAAACCCTAATAAAACATTTCCTGCATGTTCAGAACAATCCAATGTAAATTTAACTGCTTGTCCATAACTACATTCAGTTGTTTTTGGACTGCAATCTCCTTTCAAGAGGAAATTACCTTCTTTGGTTTTCTCTGCTTTACAGTACACTTGGGTGCAGAATTAATAACACATCCTCAAAGCAAATTTTGAACTTTCAACCCAATTTTTGGAGGTAGCCCAACTTATCAACAGTGGCAGTGATTAGCTGCTTACACTTTACTGCATTCATTTTAACTAATGACCATATCACAAATGTAAAAATCAGGACATTAGGCCAAGTGTTTCAATGTGATGTCATGTCACATGATTGATTCCGTACTATTTCTGACTTAGCAACAATTAAGCAATTGCCAAAATTTCACTATTCTTATCAAAATTAAAATAATTGAGTTTTAATTCAGATAATTAGCAAAAATCATTCACACAATTTCAGTTCACATTCACTATTGTCCAACATACACTGTTGCTTTTTGGAATGCCTGTACATTTAAAATGCCACCACAGTTAAATTAATATTAGATTTATCAAAAAGTACATATTTTACAGTAGGTATGCAATACTTTTACACCACCAGTGTAATTTATGTACAGTACATTAGAGCACGAAAATAGTTGAATACCAATTTCATGGCATTTTATTCTTTATTTGTTACATGATTAAAGTTAATGAAGTAACAAGCATTTCAAATTAATTTTAAGGTTTTTTTTTAACTTTTGAGTTAAAAAAAAAAGCCTTAAAATTAATCTGAAACTATGAATTAGTTTCTAATTCATCACTTCCTTAGAATCCAGGAAAATATAATTTTATAACTACATTTGTTTTAATAAAAAATACACTTCAGATATCAGACAATGTATTTATTTTTAATCTGAATATACATTGTAAAATAAACATTAAAATTTCTGGAATTGTTTCTTGGCCCCAGCTGCTTTGGTAACTTTCAAAACATTGAAGCGAACCGTTTTGCTCAATGGTCGACATTCTCCCACAGTCACTACGTCACCAATGGCTACATCTCTGGAAAACAATAATAATAATAAATATTGTCTGAAAAATACAGTTCAAGTATATATTTTGCATTTTAAATTATAATCAGTTATCATAACTCATCAAACATTTCAGGAGACCGTCATGATAATTTATCATCATTAATCGCTCTAATTTTTTATAAGAAGTATTTTAAAACTGATATTAATTTGTTATAATTTTTATTTTTAATTACACAGTTTTTAATAATTAGTTTGTTTTTTGATATATGTAATAAATAAATAAATTCTTAATTACAATATAAGATTAGAGAAAGATACAGATTAACTAATTTTTTTTATTTTTTGACAGATAAACTGACATTTTCCATAAAATCATGATGGTTAAAAAACCATCATGATTTTATGGAAAATGTCGATTCATGTATTCATGTACGATTTAATGAGATCATTTGTTTGTAGAATTGTTATGACTAATTCTTATAATTGTTCTTGCATGAAACAAATATAGATAGATACCCCTTTTTTTAAGCCAGTTTTCAGTAGAAGGCATAGTCTCCATGGAAATTGAAAAAAATACTGTACAAAATTTCTTATGCATTTGTATACAAAAAAAATTAAATCTTGCATGGTTGCATTTGAATAACTAGCCAAAAATTTCTTAATTCCTATGATAGGATTATTTTATCTCAAAACTACAACAAATAGTAATACATATGATTATTTAGACTGAAATAATCACATCTTATAATCATTGAAGAGAGCAGTTTTCTGAACCTATTATTTGGAGTGTGCTTGCAGAAATTAATCTGCATACAGTGTCTTTAGTTAATGATGTAATTCTTATTTTGAACTGAAAGTTTTCCAGTTAGTAATATATGCCAGAAACTGCCATATATTCCTAATTGAAGATCAGGAGTTAGAGTTACAAGTTAACCAATTACCATCCACTTTATTTTTAATGCATGAACACTTATGGCATTATAGTTATCGTAACTCTGTTGATTTTTGGCTCTGAATATTGGCATCTGTACTGTACAATAATTGACACTCTTTCTATCATCCATATACCACTATAAAATGAAGAATCTGCCTTATTTTCTAATGCTACAATTCTCTGCTACATTTTTTCATATTCTGGTTAATCCATTAGAAACATAACCAATTCTTGTTACAGTAATGAGTGAGAAAATAATAATTTCTAAACATCTTTTCATTTCTTAATCTTTTTAGTTTTTTCTAAAATATTTTTCTATTTTTTAAAGGAATTATCATTATTTTAAAAACTTCAAACAAATTTTGCAATTTTAAGTTTTTAAAATAATGATAACTTTCAATTAAAGAGAGCGTTAATTTAATTTAATATTTACTTATAAATGAGCAAAACTAATTATTACATGATTGTCTGCACCATAATATGAATAAGTTATCTTATAAAAAGTTATTTGTATATATAGTTTCCCAGATTGTACATACTTGATTATTAAGAATATAAAAATTCCTAATTCTTATAATTAAGTTTTCAGTTTTAGCTAACTGCCATCAAATAATAGTTTGTGGACACCCACAAACTTAATCAGCTGTTTAATTAAATAAAACTATTTTAAAACCGTAAACTTCAGGCTTAAAATTTAATAGCAAGCAGAAAATAAATAAATTTACCGGAAACATGGTGATAAATGAACAGACATATTCTTATGTCTTTTTTCAAATCTATTATATTTCTTAACATAATGCAAATAATCCCTTCTAATAACTATGGTACGTTGCATCTTCATTTTTACTATCACCCCTCTCAGAATACGGCCTCGAATGCTGACGTTCCCCGTGAAAGGGCACTTCTTGTCGATATAAGTACCTTCGAGAGCCTATAAAAATAAAAATTTATTTTAGTACCACTTCTAACTTTTGTTTATTAAGATTTTTTTAAATGACATTTTCAGATAGTTATAACATATCTACAAAATTTTTCAGTAGACCGTCGTGGATTTTTCATCATTTGTCATTAAAAAAAATTACATAACAGTTTCAGTAATATATAAATAATTAAATAAGAGAATTTATTCTGTAGTTTTATACTACAATTTTCCATCAAATTTTAGTTTTAATAAAACTTGAATCCATTTCGTAAATTAAATAATATATAATCATTTCCAATACTTTTCCATTAATTATATCTTTCCTAACTTTTATGCTATCTTACACAAAATGTAAACGTAAGATATATAGCACTGGAAAAAAGTTTTTTAATGTCACTGTAATTTTATTTACATTTTTCATTTTATTGAAATGTATTTATTTTTGCTGTTATTATACATTAATCAAAAGAAGAATAAACAAATTAATAAATTATTAAACAAATTTTAAAAAATTAACAAAAATATTAGGAAAAAATTAGAATTTAATGAAATCTACTCAGAAAAAAGTATTTTCAGAAATTACTATCAATTGTTTGGCTTTAATATACTGTAACTAATGGGCTTTGAAATGTTTATATAGAAAATAACTAAAGTATTACAAATGTGTAAACTATTGCTGTTAACCTCACCTGTGTTATTCCCAACATATATCGGGGTCGTGATCTTTGACCCACAAGGCTAAATCTGATATATTTCATTAAGTATCAGTATGTTTTTGATACTAGATGTCGCTATGCATCATAATTTTTATATTAAAACAAACTTTTGAAATATAATTTTTGTTTTTATACTTTTCAATATATTTATTTTGTTTGTGCAAAATAAAAAAATAAAAAAAGTTTTTAATGATATGGTAGTCATGATTATTATTAAAAAAAAAAAAAGGCTTAACATCAACAAAAATTCAACACGGTGACCGCACACAACAGAGAAAAATTTCAACACAAGATAGGTTAATATCCGATTTGAAAATTGTTTTTTGTTACTCCTAAATACAAATTTCCAATAATCTATATAATTTTAACAATAATTACTTTAAATTGTAAAATAGCATACTTTAGTTTTTTTTTTCATCCGATGATTCTTTTCATTTTTAATATTTGAAGACAAAATTCGCCCAAGTAGGGATCACCATTTATTAACTTTGTGTTCCAGGCAATACATTTTCAGCAATCGACCTTCCTTTCTAGGCTACTAGCCGCCAAAAAGCTAAAAAGTCCTTTTTAAAAACACAAAAATTTCCAATTAAAAATACAAAGATTTTCTAAAATTGAAACTGGTGATATACGAACGTCTTTCTTGTTACCATCTGTACCCTTTTGGGGTGGTTCGACCTTTTATCCACAGAGAAGTGAGCGCTGGAAAATGTAGATTAAAAAGGTTCCCCCTGGTGATGATAGTTCAGTCATAATTTGTAAATTTTTTTTTCATCTCATGGTTCTTTTCATTTTTAATATTTGAAGACAAAATTTGCCACTTTTTAGCTTTTTGGCGGCTAGTAGCCTAGAAAGGAAGGTCAGTCGCCGAAAATGTATTGCCTGGGATGCAAAGTTAATAAATAGTAATCACTACTTGGGCAAATTTTGTCTTCAAATATTAAAAAAGCATATTTTAGTTTTAAATTCAAAATTCACAATTTTATATGAAAAATGCTCTGCCAACTACACTGTTGTGTATTCAAGTGTACAATTTTATGTCACACATATACAGAGTCCATACTTAACATTGTTGAAGAAAGAAAGATACAAGTACAATCAAGCCTCAGTTTATGAACTTAATTCATTCCTAAAAGTTGTTCTCAAACTGAAAAAAGTTTTCCCATAAGAAACAATGTAAGATGGATTAATCTATTTTCAACCTCCAAAACAAAACAGCCTTTTTTTTAAACCTTTTTAGCTGTATTTTATTTATAAAAATACCTACAAATACAATATATTATTATTTATATATATCGAAACCAAAACCATCACTTGACAAAAAGTGCTATAAATAGACTCCACTCTGTCTACATGCAATATAATAAATCAATTGGTTTATTTAATTGATTTGATTTAAATTCAACAACCAAAAAATGGTGGTAGTATCTTACTTGCATGAATAATGAATTATAATTTGAATAACTACATCATTGATGATTTGTGTCAGGATGTCTAATGGCATGAGATGATCTCTGCACCACTAACTTATAACTCAGTAGTTCTGCTGTTGATTGGTTGGGCCATCAACTTTCTTTAACATAGAAAATATAGGAAGTTGACCATTGGTGGCTGGTTCTGCCACGTAGCTTGTTTGAAAAACAAGTTGTTGTATGACAACTGGAGTAAATATGCATTCAAAATTGTTTGTAAACAGTGATATTTGTAACCCAAGGTCTGACTGTACATTTGTAAACATTTATAATTATCATTGCAAAATTTTCTTTATAAACAGTAAAAGTGATTCTATAAGGTTAAAAATAAATGCTGTAGGATGTGAACACGATCTAATTAAAACAACATTAATTGAATTATATCTTGTTTATATCATTTAGCCAATAGTAAAATTGGTTTCATTAATGCCCTCTTTGCTTAACATTGCAGTTTCCTAGAACCTATTCACAACATTAAGCAAGGACTTGCTGTATTTTATATACAAACATTTTAAATTCATTTATATCAATTATTTATACATACCTCTCGTGGTGTTTTAAATCCAAGTCCAACATTTCTCACGTATCGCAATGATTTTTTCGATTTAGTCTTGGTCAATCCTGGTTTTCTATTCAGAAAAACCGTCGGTTGTTTCTGGAATGCTCTTTCGGTCTATAGAAATTATAATTACATTTATTTAAAGATTAATAAATTGTCTTATTAAACAAAATAATACAATATTAAGAAACATTATAACAAAATCAACCATTTTTACTTTACTTAATATTAGAATTATTTTCAATTATGATGATAAATCTTTCAGGAGAATCATTTTGAAAATTCTAAGTGCAAACAGTCACTCCCCGTACAATTTAGTTTTTTGTTCAACCATATAACTGACTAGCAGACCCTGCCATGCGTTGTTGTGGCTCAAAATGTATCTATATATATAATCGAGATGAGTTGATAATAATGATAATAATAATAATAATCAGCACAGAGCCCAAATGGTTAGGAGTTGGAAGCTGAAATTTGGTACACAGTTAGGGTGTGTCACGAAAACGCACACTAAGAAGGGATTTTTCGAAATGCCCCCCTGGGGGAGAGGGACAGGATTAAGCTTAACACTTCCATCAACAATAGAAGTGTTAAGTAACAATGGAAGTGTCAACAATGGACGTGTTACGTAACAATGGAATTGTTAAGAGAAAGCGACGTTTTAAGAGAAAGTGCAGTTGATTTTCGTTTTTGCAGGAAATTGAAGATATTGTTAGACCCATGTAAAAATTCTCTAATTAGTCTGAAAACGGGGGATCCAATTTTTGCATTCTATGAAAACGGGTGAGGTTGACTATAACGTAATAATCTTAATCTTCGCTATCGTTACTTTTGCCCGAGCAACGCCGGGCCCATCTGCTAGTCTCTTATAAATGTATAACACTTCCCCCACAGGGGAAATTTCAAAAAATCCCTTCTTAGTGTACATTCTCTTGACATACCCTATTAAAACGCAAAAAACCGCATCTAAAATAGTATAACAGAAGTTCTTCATAGTAAGCCTTAATCGTGTCCTTCTTCCCCATGGGAGAATATCAAAAAATTCCTTTTTAGTGTATATTCTGTTGATGCACCCTATTAAAACGCAATCAAAATCAGAAAAAACCACACACAAAATAGTATAGACAGAAGCAGAGTTCTTCACGGTAAGCCTTAATCCTGTCCATCTCCACCACAGTGGGGGAATTTTTTAACACATACATTATATAAAAACACATGCATACTCGAATGCAACGTTGTGTCAAAGTTTCAAAGAAATCAGTAAAAACAAATGAACATTACATTTTTATTTATATAGATAGATAAAAGATGATCTGCTTTAGTTCATCCTCACAGAAGAGCAAACTTAGGTTGTCGTACTCGCGGAGTTAGTGCCATCTGTTGAACATAAAAGCCTTAATCCTAGATGATATATTTTAATTTATATGAATGATTAACAGAATAATATACAGCCTATGTCCACCCTGAAGGTACATTCTAAATATTGGTGAAAGAATTTTTGAAATCGGATGAGTAGTTTCGGAGATTACCCCCTACATCCAAACTTACAAACTTTACCTCTTTATAATATTAGTATAGATCAGTGTTTCTCAATGGGGGTGATATCGCCCCATATGTTTTTCCATGTTGAGGGGGCGATTAGTAACAATTTATATTTTGGGGGCAAAAACCAATTTTCTGGGCGATATAGTAAAACATTATATTAAGAATAATTAGATATTTTATTTGTTATATCGTACAATAATTAAACAAATAGCATTATACTAGTCACTAGTCTATTCAATGCGAATTTGGCATTAGCCTTGTCCCTCGGCATCAAAATTTTGTAGTGAAGGGGGCAATACTACATAACGGTTTTATTGAAGAGGGCGATACTACGTTGAAGGGGGCGACGATTCGTTAGAGGTTGAGAAACAATGGTATAGATTATAGCTAATAAAGTATAAATAATGTTGAATCTTTAAATGCTAGATTAAGTGTAATATCATTTTATAATATTATCAAATATTCGGTAACATTCTACGAAGAGGATATTGCAAAGCTTGTCCATAGATATGACAAATGCCTCAATCTTCATGGTGATTATGTCAAAAAGTAGCCATGTTTGTACCTAACTTTTGGTAATAAATTCATTTTGTTATTTACACTTGTCTTTGTTTTATGGACCATCAGGAAAAAAACTGCCTACATAAATGTTAAACATTGAAACAAAAGATCATCATCTTGTTATAAATCATTATTAATGTAAATGCACTTGGACAACTCAACCTGCACTTTAACTTGGGCATTAATGAAATTAAGTATCATCTTAATCAATCAGTTGCTGAAGAATCTCCAGCCTACATATTGAATCAAAGCTTGTTCTTTCTTATACTTGATAGGTTCGCTTGAAGTCAATAAATAATAGATATAAGATCACATTACAGCAATCTTTTTTTATTTTTTAAAAAGTTTGTAGCCTTCTAAATGAAAAAATTTGCACGTTCTTCTAGTTAATATTGCTTATGCAACACTATAATGATTCATATTTCAAAATCAACAAAAAATGTTCAAATAATCTTTCTTCCAACTTGACCTCTGAACAGGAGTTGGTGACCCAAAGTCTTTTCAAGCTTTCAATGTCACAGCCAAATCCAGATGATTTTTGGAAGATGGCATTTGTTTCTAAATGTATAATCTCTCAAATTTTTTTAACAGAACATGCATTGTGATTGATTGCACCCCAGGAGGAGGTGGTGCAAATGGCATTTCTCATGTTTGAACTTTTATCCATCTCTGGTAAAGTGGAAAACAGTTGAGTTTTAGTATTGTTTTGAGAAATAGTTCGATTAAATTACTCTCCATTTTTAAGTGTCTTCAAAATCCAAATACAAGGTCTGTTCAAAAAGTATCGGATCTTTGGTCGGCAAAAATAAATTTATTGATTTTGATGTACAAAACTCTAATCCCCTTCAAAGTAGTCTCCTTGGTAATGTATACACTTCTCCCAGCGTACCTGCCATTGCTGGAAACACTACTGGAACGCATCTTTTGGAATGGCCATCAGCCGGTCTGTCGGATTTTGCACGATGTCTTCTCTCGACTAAATTCGGGTTCCTTTTAGCAGCCTTTTCAGCTTGGGAAATAGCCAAAAGTCACACGGAGCCATGTCGGGAGAGTACGGAGCATGACGAACCACAGGAGTGTTATGTTTGGCGACGAAAGCCCGAATCAGATGCACAGAATGGGCGGATACGTTATCACGATGGTGCTGCTAAGTTTTGATCGACTATAGATCCGGTCGTTTGCGTCGCACAGCATCGGAAAGACGACGAAGGACCTCCTGGTAGTACTCCTTTGCGATGGTTTGGCCTTGCAGTGCGTACTCATGACACACCATCCCACGAGAGTCGAAAAAACTGTCAACATGACCTTTGATATTGCTGCGGACCTGCCGTGCTTTTTTTGGCCTCGAGGATCGTCCCCGAAAGCCTGCTGAATCTTGCGAATGGTTTACACTTGGGTATTGCCAAGGTTTTTGGCAAAATTTGATGTAATATCACTGCTCACGTTGTTCAGTCATTTTCCAGCTTAGTGGAATCCGACGAGAGCACACTACCTGACCTCACTCATAGGCCGATTGCCAACGACTGACGCTTCCTGCAGGTGGGAAAAAATTCAGGGCTGTGCATGACTGTCCCCTCCACAAAAGGAGGCCTCTCGCGCATCATTGGTTTACGCGGAAAAAAAAAAGGTCCGATACTTTTTGAACAGACCTTGTAGGCTGATTTCAAGTGGCTGTATCTTGTAAAGGATCACATGTATCGCATCAATTCCTTGGACTTTTTTACTCCTGTGGTCATGATCTACACCTCTGTTAAAGTCTTTAACAGTCTCATTCAGAACTGCACTTGTATCAAGAATCTAGTTTTAGATCATTTAGGTATATTTTTTACGTATAAACAAAGTATCCAAAAATATCTACCGGCATTTGCCGTATGCAAAAATTCAGCATAAATATTCATTTAGCAGATTAACAGTGTAATTATTTAATAAAATTTAAATTATTTTTAAAAAATCCTAAATTGTTTGATATGAAAACGCCAGGCAAAAAATACGAGAAAATTTATCGGCTAATTAGGCTTAACACATTTTACATGTTCGTTACAAATTTCCATATTTTTTTGTCACATAAAATTATCCCGAAACGTTTTTTACTTTATAAATAGTTTGTAATAAAAAGATGAGATAAATATTTCGGCATCCCGCATCACTTTCTTTATGGAAGTTACAAAACACGTGGCAAATTGTAAGGCTTAAGACTAACACATGTATTTGAATAGATTAGAAATAAAACTAATTATAAATTACTTCATTATGTACTTAATTACATCCTAATTCGCATTTATAAAAGTTGTTGATTTAAAAATTTAATTAGTATATTGTCAAATTTCTATTAAGCAATATAAATTTTCAAATAACACACATACCTGTTCCGCCATCTTACAACGAGAACACAAGAATTAATAAAAGACAGATGGCGCTTTGTCATCATTTCATTATTTGGAAATTATAGCCCAAGATTTAAAATTAAAATAATATAACTATATTAATGATATCTCATATATATAAAGTATTATTACAATTTTAATTACTGTATATATTTTTATTTTAGTCCACTAATCACGTTTCTCTCCGGATTTTTTTTCTTTCTTTCTTTCTATTTTGTGGACAGACGACTGTTTTTCATATTAATTAAAAATTCAGTCAGGTTTACAATAAGACACTAAGGCAGTGTTTTTCAACCTTTTTCATTGAGTGGCACACCTAATTGAAAAATAACAAATCGTGACATTCTTGACCAGCGGCGGATCTAGAATCTGAATAAGGGGGGGACTAATGGGCCAGATGAATTTTTTTGCGAAAACGAATATTACGCGCAACGCAAAAGTGTTTCTACGTGTTCAAAATCAAAATTTAAGTTCATTGAATTTTGTCGAAATACCTACATGTAAAATAATAGTCTCGCTATTGTTTTTTAAATATAGTTTTATTATCAAATATATCATCATTTTATATTATCATTTTATTGATAAACAATTTTTGTTAAGTTTTTTTATACTATTTTGATGCATATATAAAATAAATATTTCATTATTTTTTTCTTATCTTTTTCATATCAATTTAAAAAATTTAAATTAAAAAAATGATAAAAAATTGTTTATTTGTCATCATTGCTTTTGAATACTATGAAAATACTGTAATATGCACCTACTTTGTGATTGAAACCACACGCTTTTCAAAGTACAATGCAATGCTTTTTAAAGTATATACAAGACACAAGTGTCCACGTCGTTCTTCTCTGGTGGTTGGCCTGGTACTGGGACTGGGAACGTGAAGGCCAAGCAATGTGGTTTGGGCGAACTCGTGACAAGTCGTGCGTACACGTAGCGTAGAACATTACATTAACATGCGATTAGTGATAGTTTCTTTGCTTACTAGATATCTCGTAGCAAAATAGAACTGACAATGAGTTATCTTGAACTACACTTAAGTAAATTTCCAAGAAAATGCCTAAAGGCTCTAAACTTTGCGACACCCCAACAGGGGTGCCGTGACACCTTAGGGTGCCACCGCACCCCGGTTGAAAAACACTGCACTAAGGGCTTGCATAATAGTCTTAGTCTTGACAAATTCATGAAAATCCAAGCATGATTTGAATTCGGGTTCTCAGTTCGATAAGGATCGCCAGTGACAAATGAATAAAACCACTGAACTCAGTCATGGGTTAGCTCCTGGTTAAAGGGCTGGCCGTGTGGAATTTTCCGGGTTTCTTTGCGTGTCCAACATCTGAATAGAGGCCACTTTCCCGTGGAAGGTTCTCTCAGAAGGCACATCCCTCTTGGAAGATCGCCTTTGTGTCGCGTTGTCTTATCCAAAGCTTGGGATTTTGCTACCTCGGCTATTAGGATCCTTTTCTCTATCTATCGACTAAATTCGCGTTCAATTATCAGGAAATTTTTATAGATGATCGGATGGAAAAGGATCATTACCACCTGTGTCCCTCCTGACTTTTAATTAGAGTTATCTTTTTAATTAACTTTATTTGACCTAGGTGTACTAAGCTTGGATTGATGAAGCAAAAAACAAAAGTGAAATCAAAATTGATTTTCTGCCGTTTTCACCCATAGAAACAATGTACCGGCACCTTTTTTCGTATAGGTCCGAAATATCCGGGATAGATCACCTCCCAAAAATTCTTAAGGTTTATGATTTCGATCTATGTCCCTCAGAGCGATAGGTTTATTCCGGCCATCCGCCCATTAGATGGAAAGTAATGTGATCGAGAAATATGATTCATTATGCTACAGCACTTTTGTCGGGTTGAATGCTTTCACTGATGCTTCGCCATAGTGTAACTAATGTATTTTCTCTTTTAATTTAAAAATATTACAAAAATTACTGTAATTAAGTGAAATATTTATAATAAACTAAAATAATATTTTAAAGTTTGATAAATTTTAAAGAAAGAAGCATAATTTATTTTTAATATGGAATATGTGGATTTTGGGCTATATTTTTCTCTCGTGCATTTGCCATATTTTAGAATATACACAAGTAGTGCACGTGGTTTTTTTAAGTAATGGATTTGATTTATGCTCATGTGTTTTAATCGCTTTGTTATTTTTACCATTTTATTGATATTACTATAAAAAAATAGCAAAAAATGATTGCCTCGAAGACATTTGCGATGAAAACGAAGAAAGGGAGTATTATGAAAATTGTTCGTGAACATTATCTTCGCGAGGACATTTGGTGTGGTTCTGAATTATGTTCTCAATGCCAAGCATCAACGCCTGTGTTGCAAAAGCAACCAAAAAGTCAGAGTGAACTCGTTAAGGAATCACATTATATTATTCCAGATACGAATGTTATTTTGCATCAGGTAGGAAAATTTAAAAATCGAATAAAAAACTTTACAAAATTTAATATCATGGGATTCTGTATAATTTATTACTGCTACAGTGACATAAGTTTTGTTTTTTTTACGAGGGAGATTTTAAGAACCACTATATGCAATGATGTTCATTCAAAGTCATAAAATTACCTGAACCAATTATCTCAAACAATGACAGCATACTTCAGATTCTATTTGGATAGGAAATGAACACTCACTGCAGGTCCTGTAGACAACCATAAATAAAACACAAGACATGGCACTTCAACATTCACTGACAAAGGGTGCGTTTACTTCTGAGCTAATAGTGCTACTTCTGAACATCGGAAGTGACGTCATTAGCATGTGTATTTGTGCTTACTTGTCCAGTTCAAAAGTAAACGCTAACAAGAAATATGGCGGTTTCCTGCAAATAATATTGTCAAAGTTGCTATTTTAAATGTTACATTACAGATATAACTACTTGATTCCGAATCGGACGAGGATGATTTTATTGTGGATATATTTGTAGAAAAATGAAAAAAGAAAAGTAAGGTAAAATAAAAAAGATAGAAACTTTTATTGAAGAGACTCTACCTTTTTATAGGCCATCTGATTTTAAACAACTTTAGACTTACAAGAGAATGTTTTGAAATTCTCCTCTAAAAAATAAGCCCAATTATAGACACCGAAAAATTATTTCCTCTGGAAGACAACCCGTGTCTCCTCAAAAGCGGCTTTTAAGAGAATAGTAGATTATACATACATATAATACATATTTAAAGCAATTGTTTTACCCAGTGAATGGATGTGACGTTGTTTTGTTGTGGTGTAACTAAACTGAGTTCAAAATTAACAAATGATTGATATTAAATGCAAAACACTTTTTCTTTCTTTCCTTCCTCTAAGGGTATTGGCGATCATTTTAATATGTTTAGATGGACTGCGTGGAATATTTTAAATGAAGTTGTTAATTCTTTCTTACAAGTTAGTGTTAAATGAAAATGAAAAATGATCTCTTGGCCAGCACACAGCAGGATGATGTAAGAATAATGGAATTTTTTATACCCAATCTAGTTTTCCTGGAATTAGAGGCTCTATTGATGAAAAGCATATGGCTATTAAGACAACTGAAGAAGCAGTAGACTATTTCAATAGAAATAAGTATTACTCTGTCATCATATAAGTTTAGTTTGTAATGAAAAAATGGTATTCAAATGATACAATTTCTCGAGAAGTCATTTCCCATATGTAAGTGAAAATTCATTCAAGTATACAAACTTATGTAATTTTGGATTATTATTAATGCTGTTCATTTACGATTTATTTAATGCTCTGAACATAACATTTCTGAAGATTCCAAATGCGTATTAGGTAAACCTCACTTTTAATCATAAACAATGAATCGAACTTAATTTTTTTTCACATTAATTAACTCTGTTTATGAAAAAATCATCTAAAGCTATTGAACCTTACAATGAAAAAAAAGGATTGTAAACATTTTACACAACAAATAATTGAAATTTACCAATAAAAATATTTTCTGCTGTTTATTTTTCGAAAACGAACTTTGTACAGAAAGTAATTTTTTCATGAGAGCATCCATATTGAATTAGCACAAAGCTCGATAACGAACTAGCTAGCACTCCGAGCTTGCCAATTTTGCTAATCATGACGTCACATAGCTCTAAAGTAAACGCCAATGAGCATGGCACTCAGACGAAAGTATACAGGCTGAGCGTGCTGATAGTAAAATTAGCTCAGAAGTAAATGCACCCAAAGTTTCCCTTATATTGAATCCTACTGTTTTAACACATTATTCTTCCTGATCATGCAAAACCATTCCAAAAGTAATTGCCATCTTAATATTTTGTCCCCTAAACCCACTTTTGTCATCTACTTTGAGCCAGATTCTACAGCAATCTTAATTTTGTTAACTTCTCAACTATATGTATAATGTTGAGGCCACACTCCAAACTCTTTCACTATATTACTTTTGTTTCTCTTTTTGTTCTTTTAAATATTAAGCTAATTTCAAATTACTTCTGATTGGTTTGAACATTTTTTAATGTTCAAACCAATCAGAAAGATTAATTTGAAAGATTTTTATGTTCGGACAACGAACACATGATCGGATAACAAACACCCCACAGAACAAATACAAGAAGAAGTGATGTAAAATAATGAATACCGATTGGCCTTCCCTTGTCTTCGGGCAACAATTCGAAACTTTTCGGAGTGCAGGAGATGTCGACATCGACGCTCAACCCAGTATATACCGATCATATAGAATTCTTCCGAACTTTGAAACTCTCCCTTGTAATTCCAGCCTTTTATTTTTCTGACAAAACAATTCTTTTATGTGTTCGCGAGACTGTCGGGTAGGCACTTGTTAAGTTTTGCGTCTGTTCTTTCCGAAAGGTGAGAGTATAATAGCAAAGGTAGAGAGGGGGCAGAAGATGCCTAATGTTGCTGGGCAGTATGGCGTGAACAGGTCTACAGTAGGCCTCAGTTCAATTTTATTTAAGAAAAATGCTGTATAATCAAAAAGACTCCAGCAGCTAAAGCAGTAACAAAAATCACTTCTGAGAAATAAAGAATATCGAAGAGTTCGTAATGGAACCTGAAACGGATTTGACGACAGAAGAACTCCTAGAACTTTTGAATGAAGAACACCAAGAAACTCGGCAAGATATGTTTTCTTCTGAAAAAGAGGATTAATGTCGATATCTGTTATTAAAGATCCTTTGTAGAAGTGGGAGGATGTCAGAACAACGGTCTTAGAATGGCATCCAAACCATGTTGAGGCTTGGGGACCTCTACAATTACAATGCTATTAATTACTTACGAAAAATCATGAAGAAGAGAGAAAAGCAATCGACATTAGACAGATTCTTTAACCCTTTCAAACAGAAAAAACATTACTAATTAAACGCAACACTGTGTATGTATGTAGTTTTATTATTACATATAAATAAACGTAGTAAGAAGGTATATATTTTTTATTTTTTAAGGTCTCCAGAATGAATTAATCAAATTCCCATAGAAACCTATGGTAAATCGATAATCGGTTAACGAACAATTCGGATAGCGAACAAAATCTTGGAACGGATTATGTTCGTTAACCGATCACTCACTGTATTTATACTTATTTTGTTTATAAGTAAAAATGGCTTATATGTTAAGTTAAGATAAGCAATAATGATAATTTATTATATAATTGTATATATATTGTTTTAGATGGATATTCTGGAAGATCCGGTGTTTCAAAATGTCATATTGTTGCAAACAGTGTTGAAAGAAGTTGCTCATAGACATTCATCATCATATTATCGCCTGAAAAAAATTTGGAGCAACAAAGATCGCCATTTTTATGTTTTTATAAATGAACATCATAAGTAAGTGAAAATTTTGATAAAAATTTAGACATTCTGAAACATTTAACTTATTAATATTTATCAAATTATTAAATATATACTGAATTATTTATAAAACCAAACCCGATACACTTCTACAGGATGACAGCTTAACCATCATCCTCTAGTCCAAATTACTTAATATCCTAATAATTAATTAGCCATATTGTAGTTAGATAAGAATCCAGCTGTATCATTAGCTTATGTTAAATCATTTAATTAATTATAGAATAGAATTAAAGAAAATACTATATCAAGATTTAAAAATTTAATATAATATGTAATGTGTATTTTAAAAACATGTTATATATTTTTTACAAAGCAAACAGTTTATTCTTCTATTAAATTGATAATTGTAATACTGAATTCAGATTACCAGTTATAAAAGATTTTTTTTCAAATATCATTACATCATTTTGATGCATCAATTAATGTAATGTTTAGAAGATAAGTAAATCATTATTATTCTTTTTAGAGATACATTTGTTGAACGTGATAAAGGAGAATCAATTAATGATAGAAATGATCGTGCCATTCGTACTGCAACAAAATGGTATATGACTCATCTTTGTAAATATTGTTCATCTCAACCTGTGAATATTGTATTTTTAACAAATGACAAAGAAAACCTAGAGAAAGCTAAAGAAGAAGGTTTAAAGGCATTTTCTGGTAAGTCAATAAAGATCATTTGAATATCCAAATATGATAGAATTTATAGTTTTCTTTACCAGTAGATGTGTTTTATAAATAGAAAAAGAAACTATATATTTTTTTCAATATATTAAAGAAGTCTCAAAATTTAGTAATTTCAAAAAATATTTTTAACATTTTGCTAAACAGTTAAAGTGAACAGCTAATATGTGATACATAAGACTTTAAAATGTATTTACTCCAAAGTTTCAGACAGTCTGTTTTACAGAACAAATAAATTTTAGTTTAAAAATATAAACCTTTTTGGTTACTCCCATCTGTTATACAAATATTCCAAATAATGAGTAAAATAATTTTACAAAGCTATTAGAAATTATTAGAAAGAATTGTTTAATGAAGCTATACATCTTTATTTTATTTGTAATTCTCATTAAGATCATGCACTATATTTGAGTTAATTCAAATTCCATATAATTTGTTCTATGTTTTATTCTATTCTTTTTTCTTTTAATCCTGAAGATGGCTACTTAGATAGCTGAAAACATTCAATTAAAAATAATTTTGCCGATAAAGATTTAAGAGTTGTTTAATAAAAATTATTTCTTTTAGTTAAAGAATACATAAATTGCATAAAGCATCGACCAGATCTGATGGACAAATTGGCTCTTTTATCAGAAGAATCCATTTCAAAACAGGTAAAATACCATATATATTTTAAAAATTTAACTGCAAATTTTTTAATAAAAGGCATTATAAAATATTTTTTAAATAATAGTTTCATACTTTTTATATAAATTATTTAATTTCTTCTTTCTAGTTCATTTCTTGTTTGTTACTTTTGTAAAATTATATACTTTGAAACATTTTGATAAACAAGTTTTATTCAGAACTACCTCAATTACTGAATTTTAATTATGATCATATTTGAAAGATATTTTATAAAAATATATTTATCTTGATTATATTTTGTATATAGTTATTAGAAAAATTTAAGAATTTTCTTTAACTTTAATTTTCTTAAATTTTATTCAGTTTAACACTGAATAAAATTTACTAACTTTGTAAACAGTAAAGTAATAATTTATAGAAATATTTATACAGATTTCATGTCACAAGATACAAACAAATTTACAGTATAATATGCTGTTATGTGAAATTTATTATGTTTTGGTAACAAACAAATATAGACTATACTGACTGAAAAAATTTATTCGGTTAAGCTTCAGTATATTTATCAGGAACATTATAGAGAAAATAAAGAATGTTTCTAGTTAAAACAAATTAACATTTTTAATAAATGCATTTCTTTCTGTATACAGGTGCTGCCACAGATATTTTGTATACACAAAAAAAGAAATATTTATTACCTTTATCTTTTTACCAATCATTATTACCTTTGTCATTTGATTTGAATTTCGACACATAAATGTAAATTGATTAAGCCATTCCCAAAAAAGTATGTAACAGTTCCATAGAACTTTATGTAAATCAGAATTCACCTAAATGCTTATACAGCATTCACAATTATATACTCTGTACTTGATGGAAGCAAAAATAAATGTTTGAAAACATGTAAATAGAAATACTTATTCAAATTTTTTTAATCTTATGTTCAGAACATTGCAAAAAGTATGATTGGAAATGTACAATGACAAGATTAAGAAGAATGTCAATACAAACATTTTTTAATTAAAAATAATATCAGAAGTACAAGATATTGGCTGAATAGGCATCATTGTAGGAGTGTGCAGGGACCAGAAGCACTATATAGAGCATATTCAATATTTTATTTAAAACAAGAATGAGTTGCAATATAAACACAATGAATTCTGTATATATGATTTTTAAGGCACTTGACTTATAGAATTACACCGTCTACATATTACTGTCTGATCAGGTCCTCCATTTATTTCCTATGGGGTGCAAAATATTTTCCACAATTTTTTTAAGTTTGCATTAGCCAGAAAAAATTTGCATAAAGTTGAATTAATGTAGGTTAAGTATTGTGTAAGTCAGAAAGTAGCATTAAGTATTTACAAGTTATTATGCAATAAAAAAAAGGAGAGAATAAACATAAATACTAATGTTATTTGATTAACAACAAAATCAGTTACTCAACTATTATATATTTATTATATTTTATTATGAAATATGAAATGAACTGTAGATAATAATATACATAAANAACTTCGCCGTTCGGATCAATTTTGATAACGCTCTCCTATTAAAGCTAGAGAACTGGTCTTACCGACTAGTGCCCGTAAGTGGCGTAGATTGAGATCTACGTCCTTGGCTACTCTCACACATACAAAGCCAAACAGAATTTCATGAAGCTGGGCAAGAAAGAGTTGAATAGGTTAAGTGACTTAATTCTTGCTAAATGGGGTAGTAGTTTGAGAAATTTAGTCAGAATGCAAAGATTACCCGGTAATAATATGCATCTTATTAAATTGAGTTGTCTAATTTCTCTATTGAAACGTTTGAATCCAGATATTTATTATTGATTGATTTGAAAGTTAAAGATGGTTGGATGACTAAAATTTTAGGAAAGTGCTCAAAAAGTTTAACCATATAATCAAAATTTATTTCTGGAAGATTACTGCTGGTAATGTTATTTATATATAAATGAATAATTATGTTCAAAATAATTTAATAACAGAAGCTTATATACTTATGTAAGCTTGGTTATTATGTGATAAAAAAATTTAATATTTTGATTAACTTAATTTTTTGCTAAGTTTTCATTATTTTAAATATCATTTAATTTTTAAAATTATTAATTAATTGAAAGCTTATTATTGTTTTTAAGATTGGTACTAAAGATGAACTTTATCCAATGCATTTGACATTACAAGACATCCATGCAGGAATTAAAAGTGGAAAATTACTTCATGGAAAATTTCAAGCAATGAGAGAAAATGCAACCAAAGGTTTTGTGTTCATTTCTGATAGTGATGATGAGACAGACTATGTAAGTATAATAATAAAGAAATTTTTTTACTACAGTGTATTATAAGTTGATATATATTTATGTAATATTTTCATATCTGAAAAATTTTTCTGTTAATTTGTGATATTTTATTTTGTTGATTAATTTTCTGCAGAGAACAGTTCAGGATTTGATGTTTGTTTTATTTTATCTTTAATAATATTTAATGTTAATAAATAGTTAATTATAATTATTATTATCTTTATTAGCAAAAAGAATAATATCCTGTTGCCTGTTACAAATATTAAAGCAAAAAATTTTTATACAAACATTAGTACAATAATTCCAACAATTTTTTTATTACTTGTATTTAGAAAATCCTTAAATTTAGTTAGTAATATCACAATTTACCTTTCATAATTTTGATAACATAATTATCTAGATTATATTATATTTAATAGCTTGTTTAGGTTTTCTCTTAAAGCATACATTGTGCCTTGTTGAATAATATGTGATATTTTAAATGATCCTTGTATTTCTGAGTTTCTTGCAATCCTTGAATATGTGTAATATTGAGAAATCACTAGGGTTAAACCAATAGCAATTTGTAGTTAAAAAGTTAATGTTTACATTTTCAATCAGTAATTAACTTTTGTTTAATCACAGTTGAGCAATTAATCTTTTTATATTGATTTCTGTGGATTTCATTTTGTGTGGTTGAGATGAAGTATAGTCATTACTTTTAGATACCAAGGATGGTAAGTAGATCAACATAGACTATCTAGATCTTCAGTTATATATGGGATGTTGCTGAGTCAAGTGACAATGTATAACTGTCTATCCAATTATGTATATTATCTATATATATAAAATTACACGTCCTGATTGACTGATTCATCATTGCCCAGAGCAAACTGCTGAACCTAGAAATGAAATTTGGTACACAGTTAGGTATGCCATGAGAATGCACACTAAGAAGGGATTTNAAACGTTTATCTAGTGATATTACGACTTCAATATTTGTGGCGGACAGACGTAAAGTCGAATAAAATGACTTAAACTTGATTTTTATTTTTCCATATACTTTTTTAACAAGCGACGTATAATCGGGAACGACGTAACTCGAAACGACGTAAGTCGAGGTATGCCTGTACTTTTACTTATTTCCAAGTTTTCCCTGTGACTTGTACAGTACGTATTGTTTTAAATTTTCGGGTGTGATATAGGCTGTAGTATTTTACTATCGCGGAGAAAAATCACTGCATTCTGGTAATTTAATAGCTTGTTTAGGTTTTCTCTTAAAGCATACATTGTGCCTTGTTGAATAATATGTGATATTTTAAATGATCCTTGTATTTCTGAGTTTCTTGCAATCCTTGAATATGTGTAATATTGAGAAATCACTAGGGTTAAACCAATAGCAATTTGTAGTTAAAAAGTTAATGTTTACATTTTCAATCAGTAATTAACTTTTGTTTAATCACAGTTGAGCAATTAATCTTTTTATATTGATTTCTGTGGATTTCATTTTGTGTGGTTGAGATGAAGTATAGTCATTACTTTTAGATACCAAGGATGGTAAGTAGATCAACATAGACTATCTAGATCTTCAGTTATATATGGGATGTTGCTGAGTCAAGTGACAATGTATAACTGTCTATCCAATTATGTATATTATCTATATATATAAAATTACACGTCCTGATTGACTGATTCATCATTGCCCAGAGCAAACTGCTGAACCTAGAAATGAAATTTGGTACACAGTTAGGTATGCCATGAGAATGCACACTAAGAAGGGATTTTTGGAACTCCCTCCTTATAGGGGAGAGGAAGAGGATTAAGACTTAACCTGAAGAACAGCTTCTGTTGTGCTATTTTAGATGCAATTTTTTGTTTTTGATAGTAAGAACTTAATTTCCAAACATACAACATTTACCAAATCATACAAATCATTTGCCCAAGCAAAGCAAGGCTTATTTGCTAGTTTTCATATAAACTTTCAATTACACCAAATGATTGCAGTATTTTATTGAATTTAGTTTGTTATAATTGATTAGTATTTAATCTCTTCTTTCCTTTATCATTTCTTTGGTGTAAAAAAAATTGGTGAAAATGCTTCAGATTAAATAGATATTCTAATCCCCAAACTGGATTTGCATAGTAAATAATTGAATTTATTAATGAATTAAATATAATTTTACATGCAAGGGCATATTTGATACTTTTAGAACTGAGCACAAATATAACAAGTTATTGGTTGTTACTTTTTACCCTACTATTCAGTTTATAAATATGTGATTTCTTTAGTTGTTAGTTGAAATTTTTTAGCTAAAATTTCCATTTACATTTTCTTATAGTTGAAAGGAGAGACTATTGGTCAATAATTTTTGGGAGAAAATTTATCTCCCTTTTTAAATAGCATATGTGAGATCTGAAAGGCCCTGGGTCTAATTTAATAATTTTTATTAAATATGTTTAAATATTGACACAAAATATTACTTCATTTTTGTGAAAAACTAGTGTTTTGGACGTGGGAAAAAACCAGATAACAGATGCTACTTCCTTTCACAGAAGAGAACATCCTCTGACTTTCCCTTATCTGGTTAAAAATCTCACTCAGATGGGAAATGGTTACCCCTCATTCGTTCCCCTTTCGTCCGTTCTCATGAAAGAGTTACTGGCCGATGATTGGTCGAAATTCAGGAGATATAAGGGAAATTAGTCCGAATTCGGGGAGTTCAACGGGGGGTTCTTCGACAGATCCTAAGCATCAAGCTCCACACAGGTTTCCTCCTGATGACCAACGCCCTTAAATGAGTCCCTAGACTAAGTCCCGAGTCTGAACTTAGTAAAGATACTTTTATATTTGTGCACGTATTGATCTCCCGTACGAAGAAGTAAATGAACTCTATCTACAAGGTGTCCCTTACCTACAGAGAGGAAGACGAACGACAACTAAACAGGTTGTATGCTTTATACCAATTTTGTGAGCTCTCCCTCTCGATCGCGCATCAGTATAGAATAAGTCTTAGACTATATCTCGTGTGGCTTAATTGTCTTATTGATATCCCTCGTTCGTTGTAATTTGTATTCGTTTTGTTTTGAATTATTAAATTTACTCTTGTTAAATTTAATTAAATGTCTCTTAAATTGATTCCGAATCAGATCTCATACGCGTGTTTGTCCGCGCAACGAGAAAATTGACAAACTGGTGTCGGGAACCTGATGAACATCGGAACTTCGCCGTTCGGATCAATTTTGATAACGCTCTCCTATTAAAGCTAGAGAACTGGTCTTACCGACTAGTGCCCGTAAGTGGCGTAGATTGAGATCTACGTCCTTGGCTACTCTCACACATACAAAGCCAAACAGAATTTCATGAAGCTGGGCAAGAAAGAGTTGAATAGGTTAAGTGACTTAATTCTTGCTAAATGGGGTAGTAGTTTGAGAAATTTAGTCAGAATGCAAAGATTACCCGGTAATAATATGCATCTTATTAAATTGAGTTGTCTAATTTCTCTATTGAAACGTTTGAATCCAGATATTTATTATTGATTGATTTGAAAGTTAAAGATGGTTGGATGACTAAAATTTTAGGAAAGTGCTCAAAAAGTTTAACCATATAATCAAAATTTATTTCTGGAAGATTACTGCTGGAGTCAATCTATATATATAAAATTGCTTGTCCTGACTGACTCATTCATTCACTCACTGATTCATCATCGCCCAGAGCAAACAGCTGAACCTAAAGAGGTGAAATTTGGTAGACAGTTAGGGTATGTCATGAAAACGCTCACTAAGAAGGGATTTTTCGAAATTCCCCCGAGTGGGGGAGAGGGAGAGGATTAAGGCTTAACCAGAAGAACGGCTTCTACTGCACTATTTTAGATGCGATTTTTCGTTTTTATCTGCATTTTAGTAGGGTATGCCATGGCAATGCACACTAAGAAGGGATTTTTCAAAATTCCCCCACGGGGAGGAGAGGGAGAGGATTAAGTCTTAACCGGAAGAACGGCTTCTACTGTACTATTTTAGATGCAGTTTTTCGTTTTTATCTGCGTTTTAGTAGGGTATACCATGGGAATGCACGCTAAGAAGGGATTTTTCGAAATTCTCCCTCGGGGAGAGGGAGAGGATATAGTCTTCATCGAGTACTTAGGTGTATTAAATTAATAACATTTCAGACATTGTTATAAATATTTATATCTATTTCAATTTTAAAAATGTTCGAACCATTTTAAATTCGAATTTGTTATTGCATATTGGTTTGATTATAGAACGATTGTAAACGTTCCAGAAAATTGATCAAATTGAAAATAGTTCGTTTGATTCTCGGCAATTCTGATCATTCTCAGCGGTAGGTGTTATATAACAATTACTATGGTTGTTGAAATACTGAATATAAATGGGGTTTGCTTGCAAAATTTTCGCGGGTGAAGTCGCGGGTAACAGCTAGTATTGAAATAAAATTTAAGAATTGTTGATCAAAAGAATTTACTATTCTTTTTATCATTAGTCAAAATAGTTTCTGAATTTGTAAAATAATTTCAATAAGTGCATAAATTTCACTACAGTTAGAATCAGTTATTTCTGGAAGACAATTAAATTTATTTGTTATTTCATTCTTATATCTTGAGATATTATAATTTTCATTTTTGTAACTGTTATTAAGTTTGTTTATCTGTTTTTTCCAATGTCATCAAGAATTTCTGTTCCATCTGAATAGAAGGAAAATAGTGTGAAGCATCATATGCTAAAATCTTTGCATTCATTCAATAGGAATTCAAAACAAAGTAAAATCAATTATGGATTTTCAATTATGTGCTATGCAAGTAAATTATGTTGGATAATCTGATTTGATACAACCATTTGATATGTACATCTGATCTATTGTTAGATTTATCAGAATGTTCATCTCTTCAGAGTCAGAATTATTCAGAATTATACTCATTTATAATGTGGGAAACTTTAACTCCCATATTGCAAAAATGAATATTTCTCAATATGGGAGTTAAAAGTTTTCCAGTAAAAGAATATATGGGTAATGTGCTGCCATAATTTCACAGATTAAAAAATTTCTTTTAATATATCTAAAAATCTGGTGGAATATAATGACTATCATAATCATTAATTTATTTCTTAGATCAGGGATTCCCAACAGGGTTGATATAGACCTCTAGGGGGTCATGGAATTTTGAAATTCCATGACCCCCTAGGGGTTGATAGAGCTCAAGGGGTCAATTGAAATTAGATGGAAAAAAAATTAGATACTTATTGTACTTTCTCAAGAATTTCAGATAATTTTCAAATAGTAATAACAATCATGTGGGAAATTCATTAACTGATTTAATAATTTACTTGATATTGATACTTCTTGAGTAATACTTGATGCTATTACACAAAATCTTGGGAAATAACAAAAATTTTAAGGGGTTGGTTGAAGAGTATAGCCCGAAATTCAAATAATAATAATTTTCAAATAGTAATAACAATCATGTGGGAAATTCATTAACTGATTTAATAATTTACTTGATATTGATACTTCTTGAGTAATACTTGATGCTATTACACAAAATCTTGGGAAATAACAAAAATTTTAAGGGGGTTGGTTGAAGAGTATAGCCCGAAATAGGGGGTCAGTGAAAGAAAAAGGTTGGGAACCCCTGCCTTAGATTATCAAAGTCAGGTTTAATTACAAACTAATAACATTATAATGTTTTCAGATTTTTTAATTTGGAGGATTTACATCAATTTATTTTTAATAAAAAAGTATATTCCTATACTGGGTTGATTTGGGCCTACTGGTGTCTGAGTTAGAACATTTTCTATTATATAATATTTGAATGTGTTTGATTTATAAAACAATTCAGAAGTTACTCATGTTTCTGTAATTCTGATAATATCTGCTTCAAGTTTAAATTGAGAGAAATCAATCAATAAAATTTTGTTTTTTAATTCCCAACAATTTCAATTTATTACTATAAGCATTTGACTATGTGTAGTTTCAATTGCAGAATTGTTTTTTTGTGATTTGTCAAATGTTAATTTATTGAATCTTATAATGAGAGAATTGGTTAAAAATTTTCAACATTATCCCTTGATTAACACAGTTAATTAATTCCTTGATCCATCCATGTATACCAAAATTGCATTCATCAAAATACACACAGTATCTATGTTAAGTAAAGACAGCTGGTAAAGCCATGTAAATTAAAACTTTTGCTGTGTATTTACATAAAGGGATTGCCACAATTAATTTTGCACATTAATCAAATCCTGCATTAAGCAAGGGATACCTATAGTTGATTTGTTCTAAGACAGTATGTTACTTTATCATAACCTGTCAGTAAAAAGTCATTGTGTAATTTGACCATGTTTGCTAGAGTTCTTTGTAAGAGATTGGGGTTAGGTTCCACTCCAGAAATAAGTAAAAGAATTTGTGTTAGATTAATAATGTCCTCTTTTCCTGAATGAATACATTTCCAAGAGCACAACACAAAGAATTTCTTCATATCACTAAAGATTGAAACAAAATGCACCAGCAACTTTGGAATTCACAACACACCTTTATAATTTAATATTAATTGTATTAATATTTTATTAAGCTATGATTAAATATAAAAATGACAGATGAAATAAGATAAATACTCTCAAAAGTTTATAGAAATTTATTAATTTTAATTCCAGTTCATATATTTATAGAATATATTCTGTGATTTAAAAAATTTTTTTATTATTATAAGAATTGTGAATGATATAAGAAGACTTTTGTTAAAATAAATTAATATGTAATAGTATTTATTTAATATTTAAATAAAATATTTTTAGGTAGTAGTTAATGGAAAAAAGAACATTAATAGAGCAATTCATGATGATATAGTTGCAGTGGAGTTGCTTTCTGAAGAAGAAATGAAAATAATTTCTGGTGATGTGAAGGTATACTTTTAAAAATAAAAAAAATAATGACTAAATTATATTAAAACTGTGAAGAATACGATTTAAGATTTATATTTATATTTTCCAGAGTTTAAAAGAAAATAAACCTTTTGGTAAAATTGTTGGTATTATCAAAAGAAATTGGAGAGCATATTCGGGAATTCTTGAACAAACTAGAAATGAAAATGTAATTTTTTTTAAAATTTATTTTATTTCATAATTTCAACAAAAATCTTCATCAAGGAACCAATAAATAGGTTATTCAAAATATGCAAAATGGCTGATTCTCATCAACTTACATTTTTCATTAATTCTAATAGTATTTAATGGTTTTTTGATACAGATTTGTATTGGAATTTATTCTATTTGTTATAACATTATTCTTTACTGGTTTTGACAATTTTTTAAAATTTATTTTATTATATACTTTTTAATGCACCATATTTTATACATTCACTTATTCATTAAACTGTTTAAAAATAAATAAATAAATTCTGTCTGAATATTTTTTTCTTTACTCTTTTCTCCTGTGCACCAAGATGGTCTTTTTTCAGTCCCATTATGGTTTGGCTACCCCACAATGGGAGTGTGGTCTATTACAGATATATATCAGGGACTGGGAGACTGGGCCTGATATATCTGTAACAGATAACAGACTACTCCCCATACACTACCTAGAGTTTTTTTTTTTTTTTGACTACCCATATTCAATCCTGTGGAGTTTCCCAGAGTGGTAGACTGATGCCTTGATATGCCCAGAGTGGTAACTGCCTCAGCTATCCATCTTTGTCTGAATATTAGCATAAACTGTTTACGTAACAGAAACAAAAGAATATTAACAAGGTTATAATTTTAGTACAGTACATTTAGATACTATTGTTCTAACAATTGTTATTTTACACCAAAAAGTGAAAATGATTCTTTTTATATCTTTATTAAAAATGAATTTTTTCTAACATAGGTAGAAATATTTGATGAAAATCATTAAAAACATCATTAAATTGTATTATTAAAAAAAGGAAATTTATGATAGGACTAAATTTATATAAGTGAAGTTCAGTAAATAAAAAAATAACACATGTAACATGTTTACTAAGACCTCTTTGCATTTATGTACTACATGGATTTGACAACTATGAACAGTTTTGTATTTTATATATAAGTAACTGAAGTAATATTTTCATATTTTATCATTATAAGATGGGTTAAAAGGCACATGTGTTGTTTGTATTAAGAAAATATGATAACTATATTAGAGGAATGTATACTTGAAGAATAGTGATTTCTAATTTGAGAAAATAATAATGTCAATAACAAACAGATTTATTTAAAATAACAAAATGATTCTTTGAAATGGATATAAATCTTCATTTTCATCAAATTATTATAAAACTAGTAAAAAAATTTATATGAAATTGATTATTTTTGAAAAATATTCTTTGACTTGAATACTTAAAAATTAATAAGGAATCTCATTATTAAAATTTCTACAAAACTGTATTTTCATCCTAACAGTTTTAAGTAATTAAGACATGTTTCAGAATTTACAAAATGTTGAATATGGAAATAAATATGGCTTATATTTAGACCAATGTGATGATAACTTTTGTATTAATTTCATTTTTTAGACTATTTTAACATTAAAAACATTCTCCTACACCTATATCAGTTATGTTTAAAAATTTTTTTTATTAAATAATCTTATTTTCAATTTTATCTGTTCTTTATATAATTGTTATTTTATCATTAAAAGTTATCTTTTCATTTCAGTATTCAATATTTTATATATAACTTTTAATTATCATGAAAGTTCATGAACCATTATAACGACATTACATGTTTTATTATTAACATTTAATTATTATTTCAGGATCGAAAACAAATCTTTGTTCCTTTGGAAAAACGAATACCAAAAATTAAAATTGAAACTAGACAAGCCAAGAGATTATTAAATAAAAGAATTATTGTAAGAATAGACAGTTGGCCAAGAAATTCTGCTTATCCATTAGTAAGTTTTTAAATATTATTATTTATTTATGTTTTTATTATTTTATTATAATTTATCATATAATGATATTATAGAATTCTCCTATTGTAATCATAGATATTGTTCCTACTCATCCAATATTATAAAAAAAAAAAATTATCCTGTAGGCACTAAGAAAGCCTTTTATTCCGTATCTGATAAAGGTTTGGCTAGGTTAACAATGGGACTGTTACTGAACTTATATGTACTGTACATTAAACCTAAGCCTCTTAGCAATAAGCACATGTTTTAATTGCTTCAATTATTCAGCAACCAAGTAATTAATTAAAAATAATTCAGATTTATTTTTGATTATATTAAGATATTAAAATTGTATAAAAGTAGCTGAGATACTTAGCTTTGCTTGGGAAAATGATATATTAAGTAAAGTACACATATGTAAAAATACACATATAACAATGTATAAAAAAGAATATGTACTTATAATGTACTAGATATAGTTAAAAACAATTTTACATTGAAAGAAATTCTAGGCACTCACTAAAAATCTAACACAGGTGACAATTTTCACCTGTGTTAGATTTTTAGCATGGTAATTCATTTACTATTGCTTTCATTTTGTTGAAATAACAGGCTGACCAACTTTCACTGATGTCCAGTTTTGTCCCATTAATGAATACAATATTCAAATTTTATTGTATTCAAATTTCATAATTCTCTTCACATCCATGGATTTATTTTTTACTTTTGCTTTTCATTTAAAAATGTCATTAACTGAAGAAACAAATTTATTACACTATAAATAGCAACTAATTTTATAATTATGATTATCTAAGGATAACTATTCTAATTAGTAAATGCAATTTCACATTCATTCTATGAATAATTATATTTCAATAATTTAAACTGTTTAAATAATCTAATAAATGTTTGATTCGTGTTTTCACAAATTTTGTTTTAATTTGCTAGTGATTTAGTTTATTATTGATATATATACCATATTTTTGCAAATTGAGTGGCATGTCACATAATGCGGGAGACCAGCATACCAAAACCCAGGTTACTGGCATGCTGATTAAACTGCAGCTAAAAATAAAATTAATCAAATCATCTAAAAAAACTAGGTGTTAAATAAATGTTAGCGTAAATGTACAATAAAATAATAACATTGTAATATGACTGACTTAAAATTAGAAAGAGGTAATAGTATAAGAGCTGCTAATTCACAGTAGTATTAATCAGTGTGGGATGCACTGACCAATACCTTGACCTTGAAAGATAACACCTTCCTTTCAAATTTCAAACAAAGCAGATGTTAATAGCTGTAAGTTGAAATAATTTACAGTGAGTTTCTGAAATTTTTGCTTTTTTGGATCAACTTACAATAAAATAAACATAAAAAAAAAATACTTTTGGCAGTCCACCAGTATTATACCTCATTAGAAAGAAGACAAAAAGTATAAATTAACATATAATCATAATTTTTGATGTAATGCTGACAGTTTCACAATTTTAGAATAAAAACGACATCTATGAGTTTCATACACCCTCTGGAGAGGAATGTATAACCTCATTTAAACTGGCATTCTGACATTCCCCAGTTTTTACCACAAGTTATCTGATTTTATGGTTTCCAGATAGACTGACATGCTGGACAATTTGCAAAAATATGGTATAAATGTTTTTACTCTTATGCTGGAAAGTAAGGATGACCAGAAAAAGTCTAAAAACACACTCTTGAAATAATGGCATACCAGATTCTGCTGCTTCTACATTATTTCTGGCAGCAAATAATTTAGCACAGGTCTGCTAAATACAGATCCAGTCTCTCACAAAGCAGTGTCTGTACCAAGTTGGCACTCACCAAATGCAACAATAATAGTACATCACATGTCTATCGGAAACAAATTAAATGCAGACAGGATGATCTTTTTACTCATAAGTTAGTTTTACAGCACAGTATATCCATTTGCATGTTTGAATGCCTGTCATGACAAAACAATGTAAAGGATGTGAAATATAAAAAAATCAATATTGGTATCAATTTGTTTTAAAAACTGGTATCAATATATTGAACTGGTATTGAATTGGTATCAGTTATATCTCTAGTAATTACTTAAGATTGAAAAATTAGTAGGTAGAGTAGTACGTATTCTAAACTATGAATGATTTTAAAATAATAGTTTGAATTACATAAATTTAAGATAATTAATAATGATAACTTTTAATTATGATGACAGTTGGTTATAATTAAAGTAAGTCCTTGAATTATAGTTTAACTATTTATTATTTTTTCATCAAAATATTACAATTGTAAATATTTATGTAATTGATTTCTACAAAGCAGTAAAATTTAACTGCATCTTTAATTTTTATAGGGTCATTATGTAGAAATATTAGGAGAGATTGGAGATAAAAAAACAGAAACTAGTGCAATTCTTATTGAAAACGATATACCTCATCAATCATTTTCTCAAGCTGTATTAGATTGTCTTCCTTCTTTACCATGGCTGATAACTGAAGAGGTAAATTATTTTTTATCATTTTAATTTTTTCATAAAATTTTAGTAAGAATATTTATTTAATAAAAAGTATATAATTTATTGATAAAATATGATTAACTATAACATTTTGTTTTTTATGTACAAATTATACATTCTTAAGTATTTAAGTAAATAATATTTATCTATTAAATCTTTCAATGTTAATTTTTTGTTATTCAAATAAAAATATACATATAATTTTTCATTTACTTCAGGATGTTAAAAGTAGAACTGATTTGAGAAATTTGGAAATATGTAGTATAGATCCTCCAGGCTGTACAGATATTGATGATGCATTACATTGTCGTTATTTAAAAAATGGAAAATATGAGGTAAAATTTTATCTATGTTTTTAAGTATTTCAAAAGTAACTTTTTCTATGCTATTTTTTCAAACTTTCTATTTATTTTTTTAGTATTATTATACAGATTGATCCATTTGGGTAGAGATAATTTGAATGCTGCATGATAAACACATTAGTTGTATGAAGTTCAAATTTTGTCACAATGGCAAAGTAAGGCCGGAGTTTCATTAAGTAGTTTTATCATGTAACAAAAATGAAAATGGCATTGACTATGGAGCAATGTGACATTTGTGTCCTTTGGTATTCAAACTCCAAGACTATGACAGCTGTTAAATACATATTTTGTTGTGTTTATGGTATCAGGAGGACACCTAAATATGATTGTATAATGCATTGGAATTATACATTTGAAGAAACAGGATCAGTTATGAAATCACATTCTGATGATCCTAAATATGATCCTGAGAAAGAATCCCATGTTTCCACTGCATTGGTTCATAACCTCAACAAAAGTCTAAGACAGTTATGTTTGGATTTCACTCTGCTGTACACAAAATGTCAATGCATTGTTCAACATTACTTGAGAATGTTTAATAATGCATTGGCATGCTGTATGCAGCAGAATCAATGCCAAGAACAGTGCCATATTCATTTTTGTCATATGACAAAACTATCCAATGAAATTTTCACCTTGCTTTGCCATTGTGGCAGAATTTGAACTCTACATTTATGACTCAGCTTTCAGATTATTCCCACCTAAATGGACCATCCTGTATAATTAAAATAAAAAAATATTTATGTATTTTTTACAATTGCACATGTTTTACAGATTATAACAAATGATATATTATTACACAAAAAAAATTATATTGGTAAATTACAATTACTGTTCTCAGAAGTTTGATTATTAATTAATTCTTTTCTAATAATTATATTATTGGGCTGCAATTTTAAAAAATTTTAGACCTATAAATTTCCACTGTTGTCTGTCTGTCTTTTCTTAATATCATGAACAGAGTTAGATAAATGAAAGTCGAGATCAGATATGGAAAGCTTAGGGATAGCAGGCCCTGATTAACTATATACGAACTTCTGAAGCAAACCAGAAGTCACATTATTTCAGTTCAGAAACTTTCCCCTGAAAGGAGTTAGACAGATGACCAGCACAACTCCATTGCTAACAGCAAAGTATGATGTACAGCAGCAAGACACTACAATACTATTTTGAGATGGAGAGGATATATTTTAAATTAAATAAATTAAAAATTGCAGCCTGCTATTGTGACACTGTCACAATAAATAATTGCTCATAAAATATAAAAGTAATATGGGAAAAGGGAATCAGTTTTTGAATTAGGGAATCAGAGGAGTGTAATCCATCAGTTTATTATGGATTTTTCCAGTTGTGTATTGTAATAAAAATTTAAAGTGTTATAAAATATGATTTTGTTTTGTTTATATAACACTAAATTTAATATTTATTTAACAATTTTCAGTAATTAAAAGTTTTTTACTCAAATTTTTATAATATATTTTACAAAGGTTGGCGTACATATTGCTGATGTCTCACATTTTATCAAACCTAGTACTGCTATTGATAATGAAGCTGCTCTTCGTGGAAATACAGTATATCTAGTTGATAAGGTAATGACATTTTATAAATATAATCAGTAAAAATATGTAATATAAAATTATAGGTAAAATCTAAATTTAAATGTAAATATTCTTATTTTATTACTAGTCATATTTTCTTTTTCTAAATTCAGAATTATATTTAACTAATATACAAAAAGAAAGTTTGTTAGTTTGTTCTTTATATATTTTGACATGGTTTGAATATATGCAATGAAACTTTTCAGGGACCTTCTCATCCTAGAGGAGGTCAATGGTTGGTTACTTTCATTTGAATTAACTTCAACCTGGCCACAGCAGGCCCCTTTCTATCTGACAAGTGGATAGTGACATTCAAATAGGAAAATTACTTAATAAAGTTGCCAGCAAGCATAAAATATGTTTTTAGAGGTTTTCAAGGGTGCTGAGTTTAAATATTTGGTCCATTTTTGTGAAATATTATTGGTTGGCCAATTACCACAATTTTATTCTTTTGTGAATGTTAGTATTAAACATTAGAAAAATTTGGATGTCTTTAATTATATTCTTGTGCAGGCAGAAGTCAATGACTACTTTTTGTTGAAAAACATAAATTATTTGTCTACTTGACCAATGAAATTGAGCCATTCCATACTATCCAAGTACTGCATTCTTAGCAAGCACAAAACATGTACTTCAAGTTTTTCCATGGTGTCAAGTGTAAAATTTTTGGTCTGTTTGCCTCAAAATCTGATATTCATTTATTTTTTTTTATTAAATGAATTTAAGTAAAATCAATTTGTTTTTTTCTCTCCTTCAAAGTAAATTTTTGACATCCTTATTCTGTTAAATTTTCATTTCAGTATTATAATTTATTTAACACTTCCTGATAAACATGTTTATAAATAGTAGGCTAAAATAACCAAACTCTTAATATGGTTTTCATTTTAATGTTTGTTCTTATTTTTTGCCTGATCAGTACTGGGCCATTCCATACTATTCAAGTATTATCTGCTAGTTTTAAATAATGATGATTGTATGCATTTTTAATATAAGATATTCTTGTAATAGTATACATTCTAATCATAAATAAATGCTCTTATTCCATACAACACTTCTCAAAATGGTGGCTGTTTCATTTCATATTGAGATATATATGAAAATATAGAATAGATTTGAATCAAATTTGTTTTTAATTATATTACAAAGATTGCCAAAGATATTAATATAAATATATAAATTTTGAATGAACTTAGCAAAGTTTGGTTTTTATATAATTATCTTACAAAGATAGATTTATGTTATATGATGCATAAGCCATCATTTTATTACAGTGCAATGGAATAAAATGGAACTGATTTTCTAATTAAAATTGAATAAAATGTAATAAACATAATTTATTATTTTATTTGTTAATGAGAAATACAGAATGTTTTCATTTTATATTTTAGAGAATAGATATGGTTCCAGAACTTCTCAGTTCAAATTTGTGTTCTCTGAGAGCAAATGAAGATAGGTAGAAATAATTTTAATTATTGCAATATTATCTAAATTTCTTGATATTTAACTTAATTTAGGAAAAAGAATCAATCTGTAGTTATAGATTTTCAAGTAAAATAAAACAAAATTGAGTAGAAATGATTGTTTTAGAAGTTATTTTAAAGTGTAAAAACTAGAGTTTATACTTTAATAAGATTGAATCAGAAAACTATTAAAGTATTTTATATTGCCATTGATTTTTAATTCAATAAATAAATAAAAATTACAAAAAGAAAATGATTGGAAATAAAATCATTCATTAAAACAAATACAGTCATTTTCATTAAACAGCTTAATAAACATAATGTTTTAGTGATATTTGGCTTATTTATTTTTATGATGATTATCTGTTTGGATAATTCAAAATTAAATAATAAAATTTTCCTATATTATAATATAAAATGTAATGAATATAATCTATCATAAAGAACTTAAAAATTTTTACTTTTATGAGAAAAATTTATAGTTTTTTTATGTTAGACTTAAAAAAATGGAAAAGATTTTTAATATAATTATATTAATTTGTTATTATAAATATGATATTAAATTATAATTACAGTATTTATTAGTATGTCATTTAAATTTAAAATATTTGAATACAGGTTTGCATTTTCATGTATATGGGAAATGGATTCAGAAGCAAATATATTAAAATCATCTTATAAAAAGACTATTATAAGATCAAAGGTAACATATAAATGTGTATAATAGAAATATTTTAATATATATCATAATTTATAATAATTGAATAAAATAATAATCTCACAAATTTTTTATTGCAGCACAAAAATAGCTTTAAATAATCCCTAGTAGTTTTAAGCTTTCTCAGCTTATTTTCAGAAGTTGAATATCCATTGTTGTCTGTTAAACACCATCTTAAAGCTTGAAACTATTTGAGACAATTTAAAACTATTTTTGTACTTCAGTAAAACAAAAATTGGTATGATTATTTTTCATCAAGAATTAGAATTTATTGTTCATCTTGAATAGAATATTCAAGTAAAGAATAACTGTTGGTAATAAATGCATATGTGTATTCTACACTTAAAAACAAAAATTCAATAAATATAGGCCATAAAACACAAATGAAAGGAGTTAGGGTTATTTTACTATCTTACAGGAAGGCAACTACTTCGAACTAAAGATAGTTCAAAGCAGTTGTCTTACTTGTAAATTTCCAGACTGATTTCTAATAATATTGTATGCATTTGCAATATAGAGGTACCTTGTACTTCAAATACTTCAGAGTTTGAACACTAAATTTAACAAAAATTCACCTCAGAGTTTGAATAATGCTTTGAAATTTGAACTGCATGCACAGTGAAAAAATGCACTTGAAGCATAAACACAATCTGTTGTGTGCCTGAGTCATTGCTCGCTCCTGTAGTACATTCATATGTTTTCACTGCTTTTTTCACTTTATTTTTGGTGTTTGATTATATATATTGTGTGTTATTTGTTGATTTTAATAATTTCTTCATGCAATTTTTTTAATCAATAGCTTTTGGGCATTCCATACATTTTGTATCCTTTAGTTCAAAATTTCCCAAACTGCACTTTTTAAACTTTATTTGGTATGTTTGAAGTTTAGGAGCATTTTTTCATACACATTATGAATTTTTTTTTTACTGTTTGTATGGAAGTATATCCTTTTCAAAACTTGTAAAGCATAATATGCCCATTTTAAATTGATTTTATTTTCAAACAAACTTTAAAGTAAAAATTTTCAAATAAACTTAAAAACAAAGAATACAATCTCACATTAGCAATAATGTGTTAAATTTCATAATTGTTATAATTAAATCATGCATACATGTTAAATAACAACAGCTGTTAAATATACACAAAAACTGTTTTGTTCAATATAACTTTTACATATTAACTGTGGCATCCAAGAAATATATGGAAGTAACCAATCCTAAGAGGAAGGTTGCAGTATCAACAATTGAAGTGAAAAAAGATGTTATCATAAAGCATGAAAGTGGTACATGTGTTTAAGATGCCAAAGTTGATGATGTGCAATTTTCATTTTATTATACAATAGTTACATATTTTATGTATTGTTTTCCTGTTTTAGTTTAGTATTAGGGCGTTTAATTGTGTTGTTTTTTACCTTAAATTATGTGTATTTTCTGTTTTAAAAACAGTTTATCAAAACTGAGTATCATTTAGGGTCTGGGAATGGATTAATTTATTTTTCATTATTTTGAATGGAAAATATTGATTTGCAGTTCAAACAGCCTCTGCAATGAATTGTTCTGTTATACTATACTCTTATAGCTCTGTCACAGTTGTGACTGGTGTGGGGTAGGCAAAGGATTTTAAATAAACTCAAAAATAAAAAATCAAGGGGATTTAAATCAGACAACCTAGTTAACCAACTGATTAATTCATTCCTTTCTATCAATTTTTCAGGTAATTTCCAGTCAAGATACTTCTTTACTACAATGCATATCTTTTCATATATTTCCCTACACAAAAATAAAATAGGCTCTAACTCCTTTCATGTGGGTTTATGACCTATGTTTACTTAGCCTTTTCTTTTAGTTTTAGCTGCACTTAAACATTTATTACCAATAGTTATGATTCACCTTATATATTGTATATTAAAATGAAGTAAACTAAGGTCTTTATTAATCAGTATGAACAGGAATAACAGCAGACTGGCTAATATAGAACCATATATAAGTTGTACATACATAAAAATAGATTATTAGATAGATTTCTATTACTGAAGCTATGGAAACCTTCATTTATTCATTTTGAACTCTAGGTGATAATCATTATTTCAGTATACCTGAAATAAAACCTGAATAATTAAGAGTTATCTTATTACTTTGAATTTAAGCCACACTTTTTATTCCAATTTTTAAGACAAAATTAGAGTGTAGCTTAAATTCAAAGTGAATATTTTAACTTCTTATTTCTGCTGATCTTCCACACCCCAACAATCAGGTCTTTGCTTTATGCTCTATGCATGCACATAGCATTATGATTGCTGATAAAAGTTTATTCAGTGGTTCCCCATTTGCACTTTTCTAATTTAATTCCATTGCTGTTTGATAACAGCTGTATAAAATCAAATTTAAAATTTTTTTATTACCCATACTCACTAATAATGGAAAAACAGTTTACATATGATGCTGAATTCAAAATTAAAATTATATTGTGTGCCAAAGAAATTGGAAATTGCACAGCCAGTGAAAGATTTATGATTGACGAAAAGAATATGCATTGTTAGAGAGCCATGAAGGAAAAGTTATTTCAGTATAAAAAAAGACAAAAAATCATCATTCTTAGGTCTTAAAAAAAAGGATGNCAACCATTTATCACATAAAGAACTCCAATAATTTTTATGTTGATCTTCATAATGATTTTATTAATTAATGTCAACTCATATAAGCAAGGATTTCTGTTGACTTTTATTTTTAAGATTAGTCATTTTTTTGTGTAAATTGGAATAAATTAAAACTGAGAACATATTTAATAGTAATGTAAATAGTACAAGTAGACATTTATAATTAAACTAGATAAATTAAATATAGTTTGATATATTTGAAATATAATGATTAAGTTTGATTAAAGTTTCAGAAAACGTGTATGTAATAATAATATAATAAAATAATTTATGTAACAGGTAGCCTTCACTTATGATGAAGCACAATGCGTAATAGACGACAAGAAAAATACTAGTAATTTAGCAAAAAGTTTGCGCAAATTAAATAAATTTGCTAAAATTTTAAAACAAAAAAGAATGGATGAAGGGTAAGTTAAATGCTTTGTTTGATTTTACAAAATCTGAATATTAAATTTCATTTATATTATATTTTATTGTAGTGCACTTACATTAGCTTCTAATGAAATAAAATTTTCATTGGATGAAGAAACTCAGGATCCAATTGCGACAGTGGACAAACAATTTCGGTAAATTATTTATTATTTTATTCATAAATATAATTTATAATTTTATTTGTTTAAAATTATGCATATTTAAAATTTTTAATTAATACTTAATATCAATTCTTCATTTTAACCTTCCTTTAAAACATCTTTAAAGAAAAGTTGTTTCAAGAATTTAATGATTTCAAATGTAACTAAAGGTTTCATAATAAAAGTTTTACAGTTTTAAGTTCATCTACTATTTTAACATATAAGTAAATTACTTTACTGGCCATTAAAATTGCTACACCAGGAAGGCGGCACACCACACACATAAAATTTGCACGACAGATAGAACATGCTGTGATATGCGAATGATTAGCTTTTCAATGCATTCATGCAAGGCAGGTGGCGGTAGTGACACCCACAAAGTGTATAAAAGAAGAGATTGTACAGCAAGTTTTTCATACAAAAATTGCATTTGAACACTGTTTTCTGGTAAGAATGTTGTTGTTATGCCTCATGTAAGAAGGAGAAATGCCTACCAGCACATGTCTGACTTTGATCGAGGTTGAATTATAGCCTACCAGGATTGCGGTTTATTGTACCACAGTATTGCTGCTCGTGTTGACTGCAATCCCATGACTGTCAGCAGAATATGGAATCAATGGGTTCAGGACAGTTATACAGAAGGTCGTGCAGGATCTCAGCGGTCCCCATCACTAACAGTCGAGAAGACAGACATTTTATCCACATTGCCTTAACAGATCGTACAGCCACGTCACAGACCGTTAGTCAAGAAATGGGGTTATTTGCAAGACAACAAGTGTCTGCACTAACAGTTCAACGACGTTTGCAGCAGCATGGACTGTCAGCGTAGCAACCATGGCTACCCTTGACACTGCATCACAGGCAGGAGCGCCTCCAGTGATGTGATCAACGATGAACCTGGATGCAGGAATGGCATCACGTCATCTTTCAGATGAATCCCAGTTCTGTTCAGAGCATCATGATGGTGGCATTGTGGAGAACGCACATTGCCAGCATGCATTTGACATCATCATACTGGCCCATCACCTGGAGTGATGGTATGGGGTGTCATTGGATAATGTCTTGATCACCTCTTGTTCGCATTTCCAGCACTTTGAACAACAGCCATTACATTTCTGATGTGTTAAGACCTGTGGCTCTGCCCTAGCTTCAAAGTATCCGTAACGCTACATTTCAGTAGAACAATGCACGACCACATGTTGCCCGTATTGTCCTGACCTTCCTTGATACAGAACATGTTCAACTGTTATCCTGGCCAGCACATTCTCCTGATCTCTCACCAATTGAAAATGTCTGGTTAATGGTTGCCAAGCAACTGGCACACTACTACTTGCCAGTCACTATGGTTGATGACCTATGGCATACTGTTGAAGCTACATGGACTGCTGTACCCATACATGCCATCCAATCTCTGTTTGACTCCATGTCCAGGCAGATAAGTGTTGTTATTGCTGCCAAAGGTGACTACTCTGTAGTGACCTTTGTATTGATTTCTCAAGATCTATACCTCCAAATTTCCTGAAAATTTAATTATTTGTTCTTCCCACTATAATGTATGTGTCTAATAAATATCATTCTGTTTTTTGCATTCCTTCCTGGTGTAGCAATTTTAATGGCCAGTAGTGTAAATAGTCCAGTCAGTTGCATTATCAATTTAACCATTTCATTATATTGTTTATAAAATTACTAATTATTCAGAATTTGTTAAACTTAATTTCTTTTTATATGATATTTAATAAGAATTTATCCTTTCATTTTCAAACAAATTTTTAATTACTAGTTTTTCAAAGAAGTCTAGCATTAATAATATTTTTATTACTTATGTTATGCAAAATAATATACAGTGAAACATTGAAAATCTGGAATAATTGGGCCCAGACCCATCCAGATTTTCAGTTTGTTTGGATTTTCAAATACATGCATAAGTTAATATTTTAAATCCCAAATACACTGTAATTCAAGATTAGGCTTCTAAGTTCAAGCAATTATTTCACAAGGAATGTAGGAATACTTAACAAAGACTCAAAATATAATTTACAAAATTACTTCATTTAAATGAAGAATGCACTAATCATTATTTCAAAATTTAAAAATTCTGAATTCTGAATGAATGTTAGAATATCACAATGCAAGGCCAAAAGACATCAACAATAAAGTTATTGTTGAATGGGTTAATATCTATTTTTTTGACAGCCAAATTTGGAGTTTTGATGTCAAGATTTTAGATATAAAACACCACTTATTGGACTGAAATGATATAGTAAACACTTAAATTATTTGAGACTTTTCATTGAAGTGTTTAAGATTTTAGATGCTTCACTCCATTAATGCAACCATTTATCACATAAAGAACTCCAATAATTTTTATGTTGATCTTCATAATGATTTTATTAATTAATGTCAACTCATATAAGCAAGGATTTCTGTTGACTTTTATTTTTAAGATTAGTCATTTTTTTGTGTAAATTGGAATAAATTAAAACTGAGAACTTTGTAATATAGCAATATTTAATATTCCTGTCATTTATTAGTCCTTGACATCATATAATTATTGAATACATTAAATTTTATATATGGTTTATTCTTGAAATTTTAAAAACTATTACATCATACCTAATAAATACTATAACATACTAACTATTTTAAAAATATATAATAAATACCTCATCTCTTAGAAATTTGAAAAGTGTGTAACAGTTATATAATTTTATTCTTGCTTATTCTTAAGATGAACTTATGAATTTTAGGGAAAATGTTTTTCTTATAATTTTTTTGTATTGGTTGAATTCTGTATTAAAAAAGTTTTAATATTTTTTCCAAATTATGTAACAAACACAATTTACTTGATATAGTAATAATATAAGAAATTATTATTTTGTGTGTACACTATAAGAAAAATACAGCTGTTTTACTTGTATTCTTTAGTTTTCTAATAGTGTTTTTTGAGACTAAAATGTTAATAACTAAAATAAATAAGAGCATTAACCATTATTAAAAAATGAAATTATTCAATAAAACAATAGTGAATATTCATATAAAAATTTTTCAAAATGTATCAGTTGTTACAAATATTCAAATATAAGAATTGCTAATCTGTATTACAAAAAGAAAATATTTAAATGCTACTAAATAATGATACATAAATTTATTATTACATTAGAAGTCCTAATTGTCTCTGTCCAGCACTTTCACATCCCAAAGTGAAGTGGAAATTTCAGAGTTGTGCTGTTAAAGACAATTAAAATCGTTAATATATTATAAACATTTAATATAAAAAAGCTCTACACATTNCATTAAAAACTTTAAATAAAAAAGTAAAATAAGTTATTTTTACCGTTTCATATATTCTTGAAAACATGTTATATCTTGATGTTTCAAAGAAATTAAAATGTTTTTATGACAGAAATTAACAGAAGAAAACAAAACTATTACTGATCGGTTGATTAAAAATGTTATAAGAATTATTACTATTTTTTAAAACTCTTCTTATAATAATATGATCCCAACAGCTTCATTATATTTAATATTTTTCGAATGAGAGGGCAATTCATTTAATGATCTATAAAACATAAAAAAGTTTAGGACTATAGATCTACAACAGAGCTTTGTTCCCAATATAAAAATATTGTTTATGAACTTATTAGTCTTTAGATTGAAAACAAACAATATTTTTAAGAAAGTCTGATTATTAACAGTCTGAAATTTATGTTTTATATGTAATAGAAATAATGTAATTAGTTTACGTTATTATTATATATTACAAGATAATTATCAATATTTGCTGACTTTTAATAACCATTACTATTATTTTCTTGATGTTAAATACAAATTTGATTTGTTCATTATATTATAGTTTATATTTCTGCCAACGATAGCAATAAGTTCCTATCTTTTTATTTGTAAACAAAACGTTTACGTTTACAATCTTTTTATATTTTATTTATAAAGAAAACAAAAATCAGATGATGAAAAATAAATAACCAAAATCTAATGAAAAAACAAATTAAATAATTAAAATTAAAATAAGTTTCAATTAATATTTACTGTACAATTCATAATATGTTAAATTTTGCATTTTTAATTTAATGAAAAACGGTTTTGTCTAAAGTTATATCAGATAGTTTAACTTCAGTTTTTATCTGCATTACAAACAATTATATTAAGATACTATTTCAGTTTTATGTTTTGTCTGTTGTTTTACGCTGTAATTGTACTGTGCTCTACATATAATATACATACACACAATAGAAATTCAACTGAATAGTAAAACATTTATCTGAATTTTTTAGAGCTGTAATTCAGAAATAATTTATTAAAAGTATTTTTAACATTAATTTCCACGTTGATAAGTCTATGGATATAAAATTAATTTTTTACTTTTGCTCTGCATTTGTTATTTTGCGGATAATTCTTTAATCAAGTTTATAATTCTGTCTTTTTATTCTGTTCAAATGGAATTACAGGTTAGAAATAGTCTATTAATGTGAGAAGCTAATATAAAAATTTTTTCCCCCTCTATTATTTTCTTCTTTTGTAGGATAGCCATTTATTAAGACATATTATAGATTACTTCTAGATTAATTAATAGATACTTCTGATATCGCATTTTAATGGTTAAACATTCTTTAAATTGCTCAAGTTTCTTTTTTTATTATGTTTGTTCGTTATCTGTGTTTCTGCTATTCGACTGTGAATGTCGTTTCAATTCAATTACGAATTGTTATTCAATAAAACAGACTCGAGAAATGTAAAAAGAAAATATAAAATTAAATAAAAATGTTACAAATTTAAGATTCTAAAGTTAGAGAGACAGTATTAAATATAAGAATTTAACAGAGAGTTTTTATAAACTAAAAGTGTTCCGATTTTTATTTTTTCAATCACTTGTTATTCGTATAACTTTATCTCCATAACACTTGTTGTTAGTATTATTCTCCTGTCTCTGTCATTATTATTTTTATAAAATTTTGCTAAATTTCTAAATTCAATTTTTCAATCG